CATAGCAGCAGAATCATGGAGGAGGTAAACATTGATGAGCAACTAATTTTACTCGTTCAAAATCACCCAGAATTGTACGATGTCGGCAGCAAGAACTACAAAGATGTGCAAAGACGCGAGAATGTTTGGATCGAGATAGGAGAGCTTACTTTCTTTTTCTTTTTCTATTCACTGCTAATGCCAGTAACAAAACCTCGTCATCTTCATCGGACGATGACGAGGACGAAGACAAAGAACCGTTCATCTTTGTACAGACTTGGTATACTATAGGTGGAAGCGTTAAAAATGCTCTCGTTTCGCGCTGTGGAAACACAATGAGCAAACACAATCACAGCCACGGCGCTGCCCGGCAACGTTCTAGCGTGCAGCCGTTCAACTGCAAACCGTGCATGTGGAGACGGAAGCACGGCACGACAACGGCGCGGTGTTTTGCCATGCCGTGCCGTGTCATGCCGTGCCGCGTGTGTGGAGACAGGCCTTTAGGAGGTCGGTGACAGCGCTAGGCGCCATCTAGCGTGAGTTTCGCGCACGTATAGCTGTCTCGTTTCGCAACGCTTGACGTTATTGTATTGAAGTTGAAACTGTTGTTTGCTCCCTAGCGATGAATCTTGTAGCGAACTCGTGTTGCTCGTGATCGCTGTGCTCCAAGCTCGCGTGCTTGGTTGGCTGTCTGCCCGTGTACCATCGTATACATATAGCATCACATTATGGGGGGAACGTTTGCTATTGGGGGGAAGTATACCACACGGTCATGCTACACCGCTACTTTTCACTCTGTCAGATGCACAAGAACGGATGCGGTGGGAGTGGGGTGTAGGCTGACTGGACTGCACGCGTGCCTTCTATTATATATATTCCCGCTGCGCTTTCGCGTTCCATTCATAATTCGTCGGTCGTCAAATGGGGAAATCAATTATTTTAATATAATGCGAATGCATTAATGTGGTAAGCCGTAAAATCTACATCCGCTCGTTTGATATATGCGTCGTCGTCGTCGTCGTCGTCGTCGTCGTCGTCGTCGCCGTCGGCGGCGGACGCTATAGGCAGGGCGTTGTCGCTGCGCGCCCAGCACGCGACGGGAAAACTCTCTATCGTAATATTGACGTTAAAAAAAAGGCACCGGCTAAACGCCGACTAGCAACATCCTTGTCTGCATCGATCCGAAATGTAATATCAACAGCAAAATGATTTACAGCCAATAACGCAGTTTACCATCCACTCCGCAGCACGCTGCCAGACCATGATTAAACGCCATAAAGCCGCGGTGTAGGAAAACTTTACGGCCGCCCGAGCTCTATGTGCTCCGATATTGAAGCATCTTTGATGGCTAGTCCTTTTTCGATTTACGATCGCTAGCTGGCCTGGAAAACAGCTTTCGGTGGTGTTAAAGCTAAAATTCGTATTGTTTTATCCTCGCTGCCGGCGAGTATGTATCTATAAACGTCGGCCGATTTACAGACGGATAGCGACGGTTGCGTCCGGTCACCGCGTCCGTCTTCACGTACCCGTTCACGTATTGGCGGAAAATGCGGAACATGGCGACATTTGTAAAAATAATTCTCAATTGTAGTTAGTATTTTTTGCTCTTATAGATTTTGCTCTTTGCATCATATTCCCACAGTCTCCAGTCTGGCCGCATGACTATGCAAATTGTAATTATTATTCAGGGTGTGTACGAAGGCACACACGCACACACACGCACGCACGCAGGCATACACGCCCGCACACACACACGCACGCACGCACGCGCGCACACACACGCACGCACGCACGCGCGCGCGCGAGAGAGAGAGAGAGAGAAAAAAAAAGAGAGGGAGAGAGAGAGAGAGAGAGAGAGCGCGCGAACGAGAGAGAGAGAGCGCGAGAGAGAGAGAGAGCTGGAGGGTGAGAGAGGAAGGGAGGAAGAAAGAGGGGCAAGGGATGGAGAGGAAGGGAGGAAGAAAGAGGGG